ATGGCCATAAATCTTTATGGGAGCAGAAAAGCCTCATCTTTCTCTCACAGAGCTGCTGGTGGGTTTGAACTGCCTACCTGGTGGTTAACAGTCCAATGCTTATCCTACAATATACCACCAACTCTCATTAATTTAGTTATAAGTTCATATAATTTTTAATAATGGTTGTATTTTTAACAACCGGCTCCCAAATTTCCTGAAAATGTTACCATTTTCACAAACCTTTACAAGTAGTGGCCTAACAATTATTTTTAAAGCTGCTGGAACAGGGTATGTGAGCTCCTCATGTGCACACAGCACAGTTCCCTTCCTCTATGGATTTGTTCTTTGACGTTTCATGGAATTTCACTTTGCATTTGAGTTTTAGAAATTAAATATATGCATATATGTGTGTGTGTGTGTATGCAGGCAAAATAGTTTAAAGAAAGATCAGCTTTGTATGGAGATGAGAGAATGCAGTAGGTACTTTCCACTTTGGAAAGTACTCTCTGTTTGTGTCTGCTTTAATTGCAAGGCCAGAAAAGGAAATTAAAATGGCTACTGTAAGAAGAAAAGAAATTACAAAGGAAACGTACAAGCAAAGCAACAAAGTAGCAACAGAGAAGATATGAAGGATTGTTGTTGTTGTTAAGTACCATGGAGTCAGTTCCACTCACTGTGAAGGAGAGGAATAAGGAATTCAGAGGAAAATGAGACAATAGAGGAAAAATAACAACAGAACTTACCTCAGAAACTTCAGGTCTACTCAACTTTACAGACTCCAGTAGGACAAATGGGAGAAAAAGAAAATCAGCACTATCCCATTCATCTTATTTTGTATTGGAGTCCTTTTAAAAACACTGATTCCTCTTCAGTAACTTAAGATGTATGGAAAATGCTAATTTTTGAGAGCATGTTTCCATTCTGGGATTTAGGGTTCTGTCATTTTGTTCCCTTTCAGACAGTGTGGAAAGGCTCTAACTTCCAAGGTCACTCTTATGGCTGGCTCCATTAGATCCAGAGTGTTGCTCTAAGGGGATCTGATACTCCGGTGTCTGAAAACTGCCCCAGACATAGCAACTCACTGTCATTATAGTGAGGAGTGTCTCTTTGGTAGAGACTGGAACACCAGCCATAGTTGTTCAACTTCTAGACAGAGTACTGAAAAAAACTAATGTAAACTGTGTGTATGTGCGAATGTGTTGTTTTCACTCACTAAAAAAAAAAAAAACAGGAAGTATTTTCAAAATTCTGAAAAAAACCTTAAGATCATTTTGTTTTCCATCAAACTTAAGTGTTTTCTTACTAGACTGCAAAACAGGAAAATAAAATGTAAATGTATACAACAATCCACAGCATTTGATCAACACCCCTAATACTTTTCCCCTAATAGCACTATTTTTTTTTATCAACACCCCTAACACTTTTTCCCTAATAGCACACTTTCCAAGGAGCTACAGCAGTGCTCACACACACACACAAAGTTACTTGATGGTACAGTTTGAGACAAACTGTCCCACCAAACAATTCAAAGTATACTTCAGCTTTAGTGGGCAGGATAAAGATATCTCAGTTGCTTGTTTAATTTGATCAGTTCTCCACAAAAATCAGTATCCACAGAAAAGTAGGGGATACTAATGGTCTGGGAGATACTGGTAATAATGCTGATTTCAGTAACTTTAGAGGGAGCGTAGTCTTGCTGGAGTAGCTAATCTCATCCATGGCTGACTCTTGGCTACATGAAGTCCTCTCATCACCCTCCTTCCCAAAGAGACTATCTTAGTAGATACAGTAAACCATTGTTCCATGGGGATCTTAGAAAATAGTCCTTGCTTGTTTCCATCAAGTTGGTTCCAACTCATAGTGACCCTATGCACAACAGATGAAACACTACCTAGTCCTGTGCCATCCTCACAATTTTGTTACACTTGAGCACAACTGCCTAGTGCCAAGCTATCTCAATAGAGGGCTTCCTCTTTTTAACTCATAGCACTCCTATGCAGTTTTTCCAAGACCGTATCTTAAGTGGAGCAGACAGCCTCTTTTTTCTCCTTCAGAGTGGCTGGTAGGTTTGAACTGCTGACTTAGCAGTTAGTAGTCCAGAGCCTAACCCACAGCTCCACCAGGGATCCTTAAACAAGCACTAAAATCTTCTTTAAAAAAAAAAAAATCTCCATATACAAATTCCCCCATACTTAACAGGAGGATTGCTAAGAAATCATGCTATGCCCGTAACACAGAACAAGTTAAATTATAAACGATCTTATAAAAACGTCGAGGTAGAAAAGCACCAAATCCCACGTTTGGTTAGAAATAATATTTATTATCCCCTCCCCCGCATTACAGGTTACTTCTCAGAAACATGAGGATATTATCCATATCCTCATCAATTACAGTTTGTGGGAAATCAACTTAACTCATTTCCTGCCAACAATATATTGCTACCAGTTTTTAATACAAAAGCCATTTTACATTTCCATGTTAGTTCAAGAATAGCTTCAAGTTTTAATGTTTTAGACCAAATCAAGACAATCTTTGTTTATAACTCACAATTTCCTGATAAATCCCCTCCCCCCAGCCCCTAAAAAAATTCTATATCCTAAGTGATAAACTCTTCTTGTACATTCAGCAAACTTTATATTGGAAAAGAAAAAGAACTGAGATAGGTATTTATTTTACTTTCGTGCACAGTAATAAATCTAGCTGAGCTTGCTTTGCAACGACGCTTGCATAAAATAAATCATACCTTGTCAAGTTTCGATGGTGATTTCTTGAAATGTAGCTATGAAGGCTTGTACACTTAATCCACTGAAATTTCCTTCTAATTTTTTAATGTGTAATTAAACCATCACCATAAGGAAAAGCTTCATCCCAAAATGATGTTTTCCCTTTCCCTCAGCTATTTCTCTCTTAAACACCTGATTCGTCTCTCAGATCATGTAAAGAGATATATTAAAAGCACAGAAAAGAAAAAGTTAGCTTGCTGACATAATGCCCTTAAGTTTGCTGACATAATGCCCACATTTTAATTTTAAAATGTAAAATCAGAGTTAAAGCATCACTTAATTCTTACAGTACATTATTAATTACTGAACAGTGTCCCACCAACTCAGAAATAATCCTTCCCTGGTTCTCTTCTTCGCATTTAGTAAGTGTATAACCAATGACTCAATCAAAGAATGTGCTTATAATATACGCTGCTGGTTTAACTTTAGAATTAAAAGTTTCAATATTGGGCTATTTTCAAATATAGAAATGCTATGAATGGCATATGAACTATTAATTTTGTTTTCAATGACCTACAGGAGGAATTCACTGAATAAAATCTTACAAGACGAAATGCAAATTTGTATACCTATATATAGATGGATCATGTATATATTGAACCTAACAAAAGTTTTAGAAGCAATACTAACACAATTCTGATTACACATTCCTAAAGTCTTAGTAATTGTTTTAAAGATGCATGTTATAAAGAGACGTGTTTGCAAAAGGCAAAAATTAAGACTCAACATGATCTTCGAGGTTTTCAAAATTACTTCAAAAGCTGTTTCTATCCCCCATAGAAGAAAACTATGCATTTATCATAGGAAAAAAAATTATAAAAAGATAATGCTAACATGTTAAGAATTCACAAAAACTATGCTGTATATCCCAGAAAAGTCATACCTAATTAAGGAAATCACAATTATGATTTATTAATATTATATTATAGACATCACCATCACCTTTCCTCTTTAATAATGAGAGGGTTTAAGTTTGTGTTGTTTTTAAACTTACTTAACTAGTGCCACAGAAATTCACGTCCCAGTAGCAACAAGTTAAACAAGATTACAAAATAAGGCATTCTGATCATGTGTCATGAAAGTTAACAGGCTTAGGATAGTAAACTAGGTTGTCATTTCTGTAATTCTATATTATAAAAAAATTATACACAAAGGCAATCTTCACACACACAAAAATTAATCTAGTTGCTACTTTCCAGGGAAACAGAAAAACAAATAAAATCCTCACCTTTGGCTATTTCTCCTACTGTCATAAACAGAGGCAGATCTTTGTTAAACAACAAAGCCCAATTTTGGAAATGTGGATGAAGTGTATTTGATGATTCCATTTTTAGTATGTCTTTAAGTCAAACATTAAATGACTTTCAAGTTATAAACTAATCTAATTTGACAAAATCCCTGTAGTGTTCTTTTAGGGGGGAAGTAGACTAAGCTTCATGCACCCTGTGCACATGCCCCAACATAATCAACCTTTTCCTGAAATATTGCGTAGGGCTCCAAAAGAATCTAGACTCCTTATCACCAAGCTGCAGCATGTATATAAAGGGCAGCAACGCAACTGTTTTTTTGTTTGTTTGTTTTTAGCACAAGGTAAAAGACTGTCTGAATGAACTTTGAAACAACTAGTACCTTGAACAACTATTTTACCAAGATGAACTCTAAAACACATGGATTTTAACATTTGGACTCAACTGCCTGTTGCACTTTTATATTGATTGTTGCTTAAATTAACAAAAACAGAACATGGTTCAGTATTCTACTGTGTAAAGGTCTTAAAGCAATGGTTATGTCAACAGGTAAAATGCACCTAATTTGGGTCTTTTTACCCCTCTTATTTAAGTGTCTTGTACGATAAGTTCTTCACAGTTTAAAATATTGTGAAGATATATTTATGCAGAACTATATTTATATTCACATACACATTATGTACACACGTTATGTATTTCATGTACCCATAAATACTGAATATGTGTCAGTTGGATATCCCACAACATATGTAGGAAACCTGAATAATAGATTGATATGGACTATGAAATGATTTCCCAAAATACTAAAGAGACAAGATTATTATGAATGATTTTAACAAAAGTTTACCTTTTTTTTACATCGTGCCTATTTCCCAAGAGGTAAATATGCTTTATAGACAATTTTTCTACTTTTGTGAAGTGAGGCAGTAGGGACAATATCAGCTGTTATTTTTCACAACCAAGGAGCCTGCCCAGGATCACATACTTTTTAACAGGAGCACAGTAAAATATGGAGATCTCCTAAATCCCAAGGTCTCCAGTTGCCAGGTTAAATGTTCTTGTGAAATTAATGTTTCCATCATTCACTATTACTTTATAAACAGCAGGATTCATTTCCAAGTCCTCATATACTTTTGAATATGCATTATACTCATACCACAGGGAAATCAAACTGATTTTTGGTTTTTGGCAGATGAAAAAGTCAAACATTCAGTGTGATTATTAATTCAGTGTTAACTTCTCCAGGTGAAGTACGACACAGCTGGTTGGTCTACTGGGAAGATACAGTCAGTGTCCAGTCATGGCTGAAGAGCTCTCAATCCAAACAGGTACTGCATGGATCCAATCTTGCAATGTCTTTGAGGTCTTTTCTATCTCCACATATGGTATATACATATAAATAGGCTTCATAGCACAAAATGTACAGTTACCATGAATCAGTTCACGTTTAAATGACAAAGAACTTAGGGGTGAACTTTAAAGGCCAAGAGCTCCTCAGAGTGCATGTTGTTTAAAGATCTAAGGTCTGGCAATTTTAAAAGAAGTTTTGTAAAAATAGAGGCCTCATTTGGATGGTTTTTCATTATTAAAGTCCTTAGTGCACGTATGAGGGTTTCCTGTAAAGCTTCCACAGAGTTGACATTTTCTATTCCAGATCGATCTAGTGGGTTGTAAAGAGAGATAGATATGAAGGACAATCATCAGCTTCATTAAAAATATTCAAAATAAGGTTTTTACACAGTGGAATAAAAACAAAAAATACTATTTTTAAAAGCTCAATTGTTAATTTTTAAGCTATTTATTATTAAAGCATTGGTTGTTTAGCACCACTGAGTCAGTTCTGGTTCACAGTGACCCTATACATGGTTTCCAAAGCTGTAAATAGTTTCTGAAGTGGAAAGCTTCACCTTTCTCTCAAGAAGCAGCTGGGACTCAAGCCACCCACCTAGTGGTTTACCACGCTATGGTAGCTTGCATGTGCTGGAATGCTGAAAGCAATACCACCAGAAGTTAAATTCCAGCAGGGTATCAGGAACTAAACTTATACCCTCTATACTTATTTATAATACCAGTAAGACAGCCTAGGGGGAAAGTCCTATAGCAATCTACTTCAAAAAATTAGACAACAGATCACAGACTAGTGCCCAAAACCAACTGTTTACTTTGGATGCAGCATCAGGAAGGAATAAACACTGAAGAAGGATATCAAGCTTGGAAGAGGGCTAGGTGAGGGAAACCCTCAATAAGATGTATTCACAAAACAGCGGAACAATGGATGTTAGCATACCAACTCCTGAAGATCTACAAGACCAGGCAATGTTTCTGTTAGACCTGGTCATCATGAGTCAGAGCTCTCACAATTACAGCTAACAACAGTGGAGTTTGTGCATGGATTTTTTTCTCATCAGCAATGATTGTATTTCCTCCCTTCACAGTAGGAGGTATATTGCCCAGGAAATATTCAGCAGTATCTATTATAGAGGTTGGATTTGATGAAACACATCTACAAAGAAGCAAAATTCTCTGGCATTTATGCCCTTTTCATATTTTTTATAAGGAGGTCTAAAATTTAATAGTAAAAGGCAAACAAAAAAGTTTAACCCTAAATGTAGAAAAAAAATAATGAAAATAGATTTGTATTTAACAAAATCTGAATTATCATTACAACTATGGGATAATTCTCATGGAAGAAGTAGAATATTCAATAATGGTTTGGGAGTCATTAATTTTCCAGATAAAATTGTTTCATAGACAGAAGGGCCCTTATGTAAACATACTTAAAGCATTCAACAACACTTCCAAGAGTCTCTATTGCCTTTGACATTCAAATAATTGTTTTTAAAACACTCTTAAAATTCATTAATTCATTTGCCAAACACATAGTAAATGTATGTGCTAGTTGCTAATGTAGCTGTCAGGGAATTAGAAGTGAACAAAACAAGTCAAAACTCCTCCTATAGGGAACTTACATTTTGGCAGAAGAAAATAGTTTGTATCATACAAGGTGGCTTCAAAAGTTTGTAGGAAAACTGTATTAAAAGATACCAGAATTCTTCCATGATCTTTTTGAAACCCCCTATACTTACACAGAGGGGTCCTGGTGTGGCACTGTGGGTTAATGTGCTGGACTGTCAAGTCAATTTGAACTGCAAGGTCGGCGGTTCAAGCACATCATTCACTCCTTGGAAACCCTATACAGGGTCGCTATGGGTCAGAACCAACTCCATAGAGTTGGTTGTTGTTAACAACAATATTTATACAGATATTTATAATATCAATAATCGGGAGAGAATAACAGTGAATCCACACAAAATTTCTAGATGGGAAAAGAGAAGGAAATGGTAAATGGGAAAGAATATTTGAGTCAGAACTGGTATTGTAAGTGGCTAGAATCCTTCAAGGATTATTTTGTGCTTTATAACCTATACTTCTCCATACAAATTCATAACTTCAGGAACTTGGATGCCTATACGTGGAAATTTTAATCTAATTATATTTTTATGAAAGGCATCATCTTGATGATTCTAAGACCAAAGGGCTTAATTACAAATGTGGATAGATCATAAACCATCTTCTGGCAACTGATATATCAGATTGCACAGTATGAAGTAGAAATTCTTCTATTTAACAGTGTGTTGAACACTACACTACTACCTGTACAGTCTAACTGACGACACATCTTCTACTTCTTTAAGACCAACCGACTGCCATCGGAGTTGATTCTGACTCATAGCCACCCTGTAGGGCAGACTAGAACTGTTTCTTAAGGGTTTCCAAGGCTGTCAGTCTTTACAGGAGCCAGTAGCCTCATCTTTCTCCTGCACAGTGGCTGGTGGATTTGAACCATCAAGCTTCTGGTTGGCAGTTCACTACATAACCCACTGTGTTACCAGGGCTCTATTTCTTTAGGAGGTTCTTTATCCCCCTCTCTCACAGTTCACTCTACCACAATCCTCTCTAACGTCTATTTTACACCTTCAAGGATGGAAGTTGAATTCTTTCAGTAAAAGCGCACCTAACATGCCAGTTCCCAGTACTCAACTGGACATGACTGTTGTCACTATATACAACCTAGTCTGAAAAAGTACTTACCTTCCAGGAACAATTTCCCTTCTCTCCATAGTATCAGGACTCTTCCAACTTCACAGGCAAACATCATCTTTGAAATGTCTCTCTCCCTCAGCATCTAAAGCTATTCTGTTTAACAAGCAGTGTAGTGGAAAGCTTTGAAGCCAGATTAATGGATGTTCAAATGTCTGTTCTGCCAATTATTAAAGATGTGACCTCAGGCAAATTATTAAACACCTTTGTTTCTCAAATTCCTTGCCTGTATAAATGAAGATAACATAACCTAACTCACAGTAGAGTTCTGTTGTGAGGAGGAAATTATATGAGACCTAGAATTCAACGAGCATTTGTTTTGACAACAAAAAAAATTGAAGGCCAACTGTAGGTTCCAAAGTAAATAAAAAGTTACTTTACATATGAAGCAAACAAAAATAACTGCCTAATTCTAATCAGTTCATGAAGAATATGAAAAAATTCATTTATTATCAGATACTAAGAAACTTCCCCTTCAAGTGGCACAGTTTTGGGTACAAATTTGCAGCACTAATTCTAACATTTCAATCCCATTGTGTGGTTCTACACAGAATACAATTTATATGATACTATTAATACTGGGTTCTTTAAAGTTTCCATTTTTACAATCAATCAACCAATAAACAAAGCATGGAGTACAACTAGTTGTAGAAAAGAATGTAAATGTTATAATTCTTGACGATATAATAGAAATGGTATACCTAAAGGAGCCAGTATATGGAAGGACGATAATGTGTCTCCCTGTGCGACAGGGCTTCTAAAGGTTCGTTGGGGGAAAAAAATCTGTTCATTCCATTTTTATATCAACTTTTTGAAGCACCTTCATTCATATAATGAGAAGATTCTACCTAAATGATCTAAGAGAAATTATATAAAGTTGAAGGACCAAAAAATGTGAGTATATTAGTTTTTAATGTAACCAAAAACGTAAATGATAAAAAACTGCATGAGAAAAAAGTGAGCAAGCATTTTTAAATACCAGTTACAGGGTCGCTATGGGTCGGAACCGACTCGACGGCACTTAACAACAACAACATCTACTAAATAAAAAATGTATGCAGAAGCGTATTAGTTAAGAGTTGGGTGAGCAACCATCATAACAATTAAAAAGATAGATGGTTAAGACTTTAGTTCTTTGAAGGACAGGACTGAGTAGAGAAGGAAAGAATTTTATAGCCTACTCAAGATTTTGGAATTTTATTTTCCTGTCTAGATTTTAAATTAATGATAGTCCTGTATAACTGACCAAGATTTAAAATTGATATGAAAACTATCAATAAAGGAAAATAACATGGTGATGGTGGTGGATGTGCACCATGGAGTCAGTTCCGACTCATAGCGACTCCGTATAGTTTCTGAGGCTGCAAATCTTTACAGGAGCAGAAAGCCTCATCCTTCTCCTGTGGAACAGCTGCTTCACTGCTGACCCTGAGATTAGCAGCTTAACTCATAACCACTACACTACCAGAGCTATTACAAGTAAAGAAAAGAACATGTTATTTGTAAAATGTATAGATCTGTGCATGTAACATGTGTTTACATCTCTTCAAATATGTTGTTGCTATTAGTTGCCATTGAGTTGGCCTCCAATTCATGGAAATTTCATGTACAACAGTATCAAACCATTGTAATCCACAGTTTTCACTGACATTTTCATAAGTCCATCACCAGACATTTCTTCCTAATTTGTCTTTCCTAGTTTCACCTGGAAACACCACTGAAACTTGTTTAGTAACATAACAACCCCTAGTCTCCACTAACAGATGAAGAATGGTGGTTGTACTTGAGGAGCACTGGCCAAGAACTGAACTGCATGGAAGGTAAGAATTCTACCACTGAAACACCACTGTCCTCGTTGTCATATATAGTTAAAGAAAAGTTACCATCAAGTCTACTCTGCATCATGGTGACCCCATGTGCTATAATATATAACTGCTCCATAAGGTTTTCATGGCAAAAGGAACTCTGGTGGCGTAGTGGCTACAGGGCTGCAATCTCAAGGTCAGCAGTTAGAAACTACCAAATTCCATAGGAGAAAGATAAGGCTTTCTGCTCCTGCAAAGGTTTACAGCCTTGGAAACTAGACAGGTTCACTATGAGTTGGAACCAACTCCTGCACCACCACCAATCTTTACAAAGGCAAACCACCAGGGCTTTCTTTCACAGTATTGCTTAGGTTTAAACTACCAACCTTTAGGTTACTTCTTGTTAAGCTGTTCAGGGACACTAGTTACATTCTTCACATTATGCCAGCATTCTCATTTTTCTGTTCTAAGCTGTTCTGTTTCAGTAATTTAGCTTTTCCTTCCCTCTACTTTCTCACCTTTGCTTTAGAGAATTGTTGACAATTTGGTCTCATTTAGAGGGTGTGTTAAGAGTGCAATTCTCACAAGTGATATTTATTTTCTGAGTCAACATGTGTTAGCTAAAAGATAACTTCAGGAGTATCTCCGGGCAATAGTCTCAAGGGGTTCTGTAGTCTCAAATGATGCGACAAATTTGGATTTTTAAAGAATCTGAAGTTAAAGAAACCATATTATTCCTATAATCAGAAAAAAACAACAAGGCTTCTTCTAAAACTGAAAACAATGTTTGTAGTTGAAAATATAAATTCTATGAATAGCATACAAGGGGGGCTTCAAAAGTTGGTAGAAAAATGGAATTAAAAGATAAAGGGGTGGGGGAGATAATGGAATGTTTCCATGAACAGTTCCTTACCACTCCTTTCTCTCAACTATCTCTGGGATGTGGCCCCTTCTTCATCTCCCCTTGCTCTAGTCGTCAAGAGTTTGCTCCACTGCCTCCTATCTCATGAATCTTCACCAGCCTTCTCAACCTGACTCTCTAGCTCTAATGGACTCACCCAGTTTAAAAATGTAGAGCTAATATCAAATCATTGCTTTGTTCATGCTTAGTCATTTCCCTACTTAAGAAGATACATGGATTTTCAGCTGTCCCATATGTCAGGTAATAGTTCCCTGCTTAACTCTCATAGTTTTCATTCCATAACTTGGTGCTTGCTCCCCTAATTTTTGCAAGTTTTTTATCCCTCTCTTGCCAGGCTCTGACCACGTGCCCTCCCCCATGCCTTGACATCTCTTATCCACACAAAAATAACTAAGTATCCATCCTTCAAAGTCTAGCTCCATTCCCATCTTTCTCACAAAGCCTTCTAAAATGAATTCTTTCTTTCTGTACTTACCTCAGTTAAAACCCCATAGTTTTTAACACTATAAATTTTTTTTTTACATTCCTTATCTTTCAGTTATCTTTCAATGGAAGTGAAACATTTTGAGAGCAAGCTTGTACTTAACATTCTTTATCTTTGCTCTGGTGTGTCGATGTAAGGTAAGCACTAAACTGGTAATCCCAAGTAGCTCTTGGGAAACTCTATAAAGGGTCTCTATGAGTTGGAACCAACTAGATGGCACGCAACAAGAACACATATTCATCAGGTAAAAAAATTAACAGGCTTACCTTAAAAGATTACCTTTGGTTTCACAGTAAGATTTATCAATCTGCTTATAAACCCAAACCAGTATTAACTACTTCTATCAAGACACTCTGCAGAACAGCAGGCAAAATGCAAAAGGCACGACAAGGTTACTAAGTAAATAGATATCCCTTACTGGCATAATCTCTTCAGACTATTTCCATGTCATAAGTTCATTTTTAGCTACCTAGGTAGAAAGGATCAGAAAAAGTAGCTAATTGTGCTCCAAAATGTCCTAAGTATTTATACTACTGATATGCAAAGAACTTTCTCTTCTTAAGCGTTTTTCATTTATAGTTTAGTCACATAATCAGGGAATATAACTGAACCCTTTAAAACTAAATTATTTTCTGCTTCGAATTTTTTGTTGAAACCATGTGTTTTCAGTAATGAAAGACATTCTGAAATTTAAAAAAATCTTTTGAATACAGATTTTAATACAATTGTTAAGTGCTGTTGAGTCAGTTCCAACCCACAGTTACCCTGTATAGGGTTTCTGCGGAGTAGCTACTGAGCTTGAACCACTGACTCTGCAGTTCAACCCGCCTTTGCAGTCCAGCACCTTAATCCACAGCGCCATACCAGGTGCCATCAAGTCAGTTCTTATTCATAGTGACCTTAAACAGGATTTCCAAAGAGTGGGTGTGGGTTTGAACCACCAACCTTGCAGTTAGCAGCCAGATGCAAAAGTGGAGTTTGTTGTTAAGTGCTGTCGAGTTGATCCCAACTCCTTGTGACCCTGTACAGGGTTTCTGAGGAGCAGCTGGTGAGTTTGAATTGCCAAGATTGTGGTTCATAATCCAGTGCTGATCCTATAAGCACCACATCAGCAGTAGGGGGTAGCAGTTTCCAATTAAATTCAAAAGGTAGAAAAGTAGGTGGATAATATGTTCTGTGAGTCATGAAAGGGTTAAGCTCTACAACCCTCACAGTGCCTAGCACAATGTCCTTTACAAACTATTCTTACTATGTAACATAGTTGTTAAGTGCCATTGAGTTGGTTCCAACTCATAGCAGCCCTGTATTAGGTTTCCAAAGAACACTGATGAGTTTGAGTTTGAACCACCAACCTTGTGGTTTAAACCAACCTTGCAGACCAGTGCTTTATCCCAGAGCACCACACCAGGATAATGTTGTTGTTAAGTACTGTGGAGTCGGTTCCGACTCAGAAACAACTGGTAGTTTCAAACTGCTGACCTTGAGGTTAGCAGCCCGATTCGTAACCACTATGCTAGTAGCACTTAAATACGAAACTTCAAGATCATAAAAATTTACTGTAAAATTCCCAACATTTATTTAAAAATATACATTGTTAAATGCCATCGAGTCAATCCGATCCATAGTGACCCTGTATAGCGTTTCCAAGGAGCAGCTGATGAGCTTGAACCACCGACCTTGCAGTTCAAACAACCTTGCAGTCTGACACATTAACCCACAGCACCATATCACACCTAAAACTTGAATAGCATTTTCTAGGATATCCCTAAAAGTCTCTGGGTCTCAATTTGCAATTTGTTATTAAGAGCAACAATCTCTGCTTTAATGCCTACTAAATTAAAATAGTTAGATTAAGAAACAACTGCAATCTAAATGCAAGACACCAGAAAACTTGTGAAACTCCCTCCATCAGTGAATGAGTATCTATTCTGTGCCAGATACTGTGTGGTAGGCTCACATGGTGCAAACGCCTTCATGTGATAAAATGAAGAATAGAAGACCAAAAAGGATAAAATTACTTACCTAAATCACACAGAAATCTCAGTGGCACAGCTGAAACATACCACACTAATACTTCTACCATTTTTAAGTAACTCACACTATATTTTAATAATTACATTCATATTAGCATCACCTGTCTAGAGTTATTTTTCCAAAAATTAAACGAATGAAAAAAAATGTGGACTCTTTAAAAAAGTTAAGAACAAAAGCTAAAGACTAAACAGCGGTAAATGCACAACGCAGATCCAAAAGCAGTTTTTTGACTTTTACTATCATGATGAAAAAAACAGCCATGTGAAAATAACAGGTTTATATAATTTAGCATCTTCCTGAAGGCTTTTTCTCCCCTTTAAACACCTTCTCCCTTGTTTGTCACCTTTTATTTCAGGTGTTGTAGATTTTAGAACCAGCTTTCTTACCTGCAGACACCAGGACAACTGCTGTAAATAGACTCATCTCTTCATCACTAAGTTGGAGGGAATTTAGCTTCTCACTAAACTCAAACATAGAGTTCAGCAGGTCTCCTGCTCCCATTGAGTGTAGATCATCCACACTATACTTCTTTCCACTTAAAAAGGTGACAGTACGCTCCTTTGCATCAAATAATGATGCAAACCGTACCATTAAAACCTGGGGGAAAAAAGATTTACAGGTATTCAGAGAAGCACAGCAACAATACTAAAGAAATAATCCAGTGCTAAAGTCCATTTAAAAATACCGTAAATGTAAAAATGAGTAAAAGAAGAAAACCTAAGACAAAGTTGTTACTAAAGCAATAAATATTCCAAGATCATAAAAAGAAATTCTAACCACCAATGGCCGAATACTTGAGTGCTGTGATACTCTGAAACCCTACTAATAAAGATTTTAAAATGCAAATATGGAATTAAGTAGATAATAATCCCAATAAGTCATCCTGGCACAAACACATTAAAAAAAGTCTTTGGGCTACCAAGCATATCACATGGTCTTAAAGAGCATTTCAATGCAACAATCCTTGAAAACATTAAAACATCAAATACAGCCAAAGTAACACCTTATGATGGACCCTAAGAGACTATTCCAAGAACCCATAACCCAAATAGATTATACACAAAGAAAGCTATTAAAAGTGTTACGAGCACTAAGTTATAATTGAAATCAAATCAAATCATTCAACAATTACATAATATAGTGCTTACATACACCAATCCCTCAAGCTCAAAAACCCCTGTACAGGGTCGCTATGAGTCAGAACTGACTCCACCGCACATAACCACAACCACCACCACATCAATTCCTCAATTATATTAAACAGTGATTTCCAATGTGATACAATAAAAACCAAGACTTATTTTATCCAAAGCAGAGTGAGTCTTCTATTAAGATGAGATTAATTACAGAACACAGCAATCCCATAAATCCCAAGTGGAAGGAACAAGAACACAAGTCCTAGAGTCCAGAACCCTATATTGTAATCGATGTATTATTTTACTGGTCAAGCAAGAAGAAAGTCTTTTCACCTCTCAGGGTCTCAACTACCTAACTGCCAAAATGAATAAAATACACTTGATTACTACCTGTTCCTTCTGGTTTTGAATCTTAAATCTAACGTTTTCCTTTACACTTAAATTAAAAGGAAACACCTATAGGCCAGGATTTTAATTTACTCCAAGCTAATTTAATTATGAATATGGCTGATTCTCTATACATGATAGGCATTGGATCTGAGAAAAGAGAAAAAAAGAGATGAGGCAGGGAAGAAGGGACAGCAAATATTTAAGTGTGTTGTGTTACTGAGCTGGCCATGACTTGATACCAACAGCAACTGATCATTCAATCTTGTGGTACCATCCAGACAGAAGTAGCGAGCATATACCCCTGGCACCCTAGCTCCTTTCTTCTGTTAAACAAAGGTTCAGAAGTTTGGACTATCAGACATCAACTCCACACCCACCACCCCCTGGTGAGTTCTGAGCTGCTCCTGAGGCTTCTTCTTACCTCAGCAGCAGAGAGAAACCATGAAGCAGATGACACAAGAAGAGGTACTATCTGATTTTGTCCTACTGGAGCTAGCAGTGGCTGCCCACAGCTCAGACTGAATGCATCACTACTCAAGGAGAAAAAGTAGCCTAGGATACTGGAATGAGATGAGGCTCCAAGGACCCAAGGTAGCACATGGAGGTGTCTAACACATTTCTAAAGTATGCTATTATCTTCTTAAGACAAATCCATGGAAACACATTCTATTCTCCCTTCTTATTCTGTAGTGAGCAAGGAAATACCAGGCTAGACTTTCAGAAGATGTCTAGCTTTCAGCAGAAACTGCAAAGTGCACACCTGAAAGTAATACTACTACAAGTTCGATAGAGCTGAGTGTGCTGGAGACATAGAGCACCTGTATTTCAAGTCCTGAAAAATTCTGAATTTTATCTCTTCTCAAGATCCCAACTTTTATTGGTAGTTTCCATTTTTGGACTATAAAATACTTATCTGAATATAAAAGAATATTTCATGTGCCCTGAATTAATTACTATGTTCCCTGAATCAATACTCAGGATAAGTAAAGCATACCTCAAAAGTCCCAGCCTTTAAAAGGTTGACCTGGTCATGCTGAGAGAGATCTCTGAACCCAGGAATACGCTTTGCAAATTCCACTACTTCTTTCACTGCTGGGGTGAAGCTCATAGAAAATTCTTCCCAGATTTCATGCCCTGATTTATGAGGATCCACATATGGAGACTTACTCATCGGACAAACCTAGTTAAGCACAAAACAGAAAACAATCTTAAATTGTTAGAGATGATAAAGCAATTCCGAAAGCAGTATCTCATCAGAAACCTCCAACATGAAAAAAACTCCCAAACACAAGTAAAATCTATTAATATTAGTACTTTCTCCAATTCCTATTCGGGCTTACTACAGAAAGAACTTTTGTTGTTATTAAGTGCTGTCAAGTAGGCTGGAACTTACTGCAACCCTGTATAAGGTTTCCAAGGAGCAGGTGGTTGGTTTGAACTGCCAACCTTGTGCTTAGCAGTCCAGTACTTAACCTACAGCACCACACCAGGACTCCACAGAAAGACTATGGCAACCTAACTTCAGCAGCAATTCTGGCAATGTGCTTCCATAAATAGTACAGCCAAGAAAACTTCCTTGTGGAAAAGTTCTACTCTATAACCCATGGGGTCACCATGAGTCAAAACTGACTCAACGGTAATAAACTTGATTTGGTTTTGATTTAAGCAAGAAATGTCATCCACAACAAACTGTTTTTAAAACTTCTTGCACCAATTTTAAGTTTATTTTCTAACATTTCCCTCCTTATGCTGTATTATGCTGGGATGTATTGCTTTATGATTTTCAAAACAAATTCCCATCAATTATGAGGTGACCATTGACCTCCCCTTATTCAATATGAAAACAATGACAGGAGATCCAGGTCCATATTCTCATGAGAAATTGGGTGGGGGGAGGGGACGGGGAGGCAGGATGCCAATGAAATTATAAGAAAACTAAAAAGATAATGAAACATGCACCATTCACTCTATTAGTAAAACCAGCCTTTAAAATTTCACTAAATCCAGAGAATACCCAAGAATGGGATGATTCTATAACTGTGGAGAATTCCAAAGGAGAACTCTATAATTGTGGATGATTCTGTAACTGTGGAGTGACACCAAAAACAAAACCTAAATGTTTACAGATTTTTCCACTCTTAAAACAATCACTAAGCCTAATAAAATATAAGCTTACCTTTTAGGTACATAAAATCAAATAATTACAAAGGGAAAAATCTGATACAAAAATTGAGGTAGAGTTGACTATTTTTTAAAAGGAAAAAAGACCTTAATTACCTGACTATTGAAAATTTTAAGCAATATAAAAGGACCTCATGGTTTGAACTGGAAATGTACTACTGTTTTGGATGAAAATTTAATTGTATACGATATGTTGTACTTTCATGTATAATGTTGTGCACATCTGATACCAAAAATACTTGAATGATATAAATAATATTAACCCGTACAATGAAGCCTGAGTAAATCCTTAAAACCTTGTCTATTAAATTTTCTAAAATCCCAAAAACCAAAGCATCTATGGAGTCCTGGTGTGGTGCTGTGGGTTAATGCACCAGACTGCAAAGCAGTTTGAACTACAGGGTCGGTGTTTCAAGCTTACCAGTCACTCCTTGAAAACCCTATATAGGGTCGCTATGGGTCGGAACCGACTCAACAGCACTTAACAACAACAACAACAATGGCTCTATAGCCAAAGACCTCTTTGTTATATAACAAACAGAACTCTTTACATTAAAAATCAAAGTATTATTGACTATGGCGAGCTTAATGATCAGCCCTGTGAAGAAATCCCAAAGCTACTAAAATACTGATGAATCAGAATGCTTAAACACTTTAAGGGATTTCTAAGAATTAAAGGACCAATTCAGCATGATTCATATTTTACATAAAATCTGAATCCCATAATATCAATCTAATTGCATGTTTGATTAATTAAACAAATTTAAACAAAATTAGGTCATCCAATAACTTATGTTTAAATTATTTGACCTAAAATCCTGCATGAACTGATAATGTACATCTCTTATGGTTTCAGACTCCACAAATTGGCACATCCCCCAAATAAAAACAAAAACACCTTCAAAACTTTCCTTGATACAAGGTAAGCAAAAAATTGATGTCACTATACCAGGTGCATTCTCTCTCCAGTGTTGCAAAGATAACTGTTGTTTTCATTCTGAGAAAATCCATCTACTGGACCTCTATCACATATCCGTTGAGGATAAGCATTGGAGAAGTTCATACAATGTCCATTTGCAATACAAATACCATGCCCATTTGAGTAATGCATTATGTTCCTCCCTTTGTACTGTCCGTTGAGATGCTGCTGGCTCCCACCACAGGGAAAATGGCTGCTAAGCCCACTGCCACAATGGTCATGATTTAAGTTATACTGCTCCATATTTTTGGGAATCCGTTCTCCTCTCTGAGACCTCTGCATGATCTCAGCTGAGTTTTCTCGCTGCTCTTGATTATACATAAAGGTATCCTTGTGGGCTCTGGTCACCATGCCAATCACTTCTTCCTTTGCAAAATCAGAAGACGGAGAAGAGCTTTTGATGTTGTCTTGCTCCAGCTGTGGTTTAGGTCGCAGCTGTTCCTGGGCTGGTAAAGCTGTCTGTTCATGATGTTCTACTAAAGTGTCATTCTGCAAGTGACCACTGAACTGGCTGTTCATCATGGTTTTCATCGCACTTTGCATTTCAATTAGCATCCTTTGTTTTTCACGCTTAGGTATACGACCGAACCGAACAGCTATTGAAGAAAAAGATATTTAACATGGATACTCTAAATAAGCCCTCTTAATTTATAAGAGAATAACATAAAATTACTTCTGGTAAGTATGGCCTCTAGTCATATAAGGAATGTCTGTATGCTTCTAGCCCAAATTGTTCTAAATTTGCTGCTTATGTTTTCTAAAGCACCAAAGGGAGTGGGGAGTGGAGAAGAAAAGATCTCCATTTTTCTCCCCAAACAAAGCTAAGGAGCTCTCTCTCACTGGTATTTTATAAGCTAAATCTAAGAAACATATAATTAACTAATGAAAACCTGAATTTGAAGCAGACCAGCATTACCACACTATATGTTATTAACAAGGCTGAAGGACTGTTCTCAAGAAGGCATGAGGGATTCATCTAATCACATCCGTTAACATTAATGGAACCGAATGGGTACAATCACTCCCTAAACATCAGACTCCGTGTCACAATTCAATTTGGCAACTTTACTTTCAAAATCCAACAACTTCCAAATGAACTGCTCTTTGTTCCAGATTCTCATGAAAGAAAAGCTTTTTTAAAAACAAAAAACACACAATCACTAAAAATGCAGTTATTGGGAAATAAGCTTGCCGTATTTTAACTAAAATCAATAAAACGAATAAAAATGAGACTGCATGTTCTCCATTATTTCAGAAGCTACTCTTCGAATGTATCCTCCTGTTTTTAACAGTCCTAACCCTTGAGAGTCCTGGTGTGGCACTGTGGGTTACTACGCTGGACTGCAAAAGTGATGTGAACCACATGGTTGATGGTTCAAGCTCAGCAGCCACTTCTAAACAGGGTCACTATGGGTTTGAACTGACTCGCAACAACATCACTTAAGAGGAAAAGGAAAGCCTCTTTCAAATCTAATGTTTAGACTAAGATGGTAACCATTCAATATGCCTACCCAGCAAGAAAGCCTTACTAATCTGTTAATTGTTTTAAAGTGCTGTCAAGCCATTTCTAACTCATAGTGACACTGTATACGGTTTCCAAGGAGCAGGTAGTCAGCTTGAACTACCTACCTTGTGGTTCAAACCAACCTTGCAGTCTAGTATTTATCCTACAGTGCCACACCAGGACTTCAAAAAAATTACTGCCTCTCACATTATCACTATCAAAGGTGAGGTTATCTGCTCTCGTAAGGACTTACAACTTTGGAAACCCTAGGGAGCAGCTCTACTCTGTTCTATAGGTTCACTATGAATAGGAACTGATCCAATGACAGTGGGGTGTCCATGTGCTCACAATCTGAGCACATTAGCATCTAAAGGCTGGAAAGTGAAATCATTCTTAAATGAAACGGGTTCCCCTTTAATGTTAAGAAATCAAGGGGGGGAAACCAAGGATTCCTATTATCAAGAGAGTATTTTATAGATCTAAGGGGGGGGGGGAAATAGGTATTTAAGTTTTTTTTTTAATTGGTATTTTTACAAAAATCAACAAGAAAGCTGAGCCAAAAGCTGTTTCTAGAATGATGACGTTGAAATTTGACTTTAATCAGGTCTCCCTCCCACAAGGCATCAAAAAGTGCTTTTCTGAAATGAGCTTTACTCTACGCACAAGAGGGCCACTGAACTGGCTTCCAGCTCAGTTTTATGCTCAGGCAAAGAATATGCTTTAAGAAGAGCACTCTTTAAACTAGGAACATACCATCTCTTGACATTCCAACAGACAGACACTTTTTAAAGCGACACTGCTGACATCTGTTCCTATTCATTCTCATTATAGAGCAGTTTTCATTCTTCAGGCACTTCTTGTATTGAATGTTTTGCTGAATGCTTCTCCGAAAGAAACCCTAAGAACAAAAGAAGATGGACCCAGGCATTTGAAAACATACAGATGGAGCTCATTATAAGCACTGCCCACAAGCCTAACACCTATCCAGTATATAACTAGTAAATAATTTTGATTTAGAACAAAGAGAAATGTAACACTGATGCAAATAACTGAACTCGACTCTTATCAGTAGCCGTAAGCTCCTATACCTGGCTAGCCAAAGAAAACTATCCTCTCCTTTGGAATTTCTTGGTGCTTGCTTGCTGCCAAAGCATCCCCTTTGTTAACCAGACCAGCCAACAGCCACATTTTCCATCTCATACTTTTAAGCACATACAAATTTTAAAACGACTGAAATACGAACGACTGACTCCGAAACAGTCAACGGTGAGAGGTGGTCAACAGTTGTAATTCCCTCACTAGAACTCGGTTGAGTTTTCACACTAATAAAGCTTGATCTTTTCCTGCTAACATCCATAAGGTGTACTAATATGTGCTACATGTTCCTTATCATGTCAGCAACAGGAAAGGGCTAATACTAAATGCTCACAGACCAATTTATATCCCAAGGAAATACAGTTCCAAACGCTAGAAAGCTCCAGACAGTTGCTTTTACTACAAAAACAATTCACATGCATGCTCTGAGAGATCTTCAAAGATCTCCAGCTTAATGGTTCCAGGGAAAACAGAAAACTGAGAACACACAATTACCAAAATAATGCCTACTATATTTCCTTTAAAGATTATTGTTAATCATACATTTCATCAATTTATATTAAGTAGCTATGGGATATAAAACTTACATATTTTATTAATGTGAAATTATGCTGCTACTGCTATTGTTGTATGTTGTAGACTTTGCCTCAAGCAACCTGAAACAGAACTGTCCCTCATAGGGTTTGCTAGGCTTAAATTTTTATGGGAGCAGTTCTGCTATACTATCACCTAGGAAATGGAGTCATGGTGTGGTGCTGTAGAATAGCAATCGACTGTTAACTGCTAAGTCGGTTAACAACCACTCCTCAGAAACACTGTACTGGGTTCAAACCAACTCATTGGCGCTTGGCAACAACTTAGAAAGTAATTGGATTTGGACGCTAAAAATTCTGAGGTAAACACAGCTTGTTGTTGTTGTTAAGTGCTGTCAAGTTAATTCCAACCCACAGCAACCCCATATAGGGTTTCCAAGGAGTAGGTGATGAACCTGAACTGTCAACCTTGCAGTTCAAGTGACTTTGCAGTCTGGCGCATTAACCCACAACTCCACACCAGGACTCCAAACACAGCTTCTTCTTCTTGTTTGTTAAGTGCCGTTGAGTAGATTCCGACTCATAGCAACCTTGCATAGGGTTTTTCCAAGGAGCAGCTGGTGAGCTTGAACCACCAACCTTGCAGTTCAAATGACTTTGCAGTCTGATTCATTAGCCCAAAGTGCCATACAGCTTAAGAGGGTATAAAAAACAGACACATGTATGTATCAAGAATACGCAATTAAGCTCACTGGTTTTATGCTTTTGCTTATCTATAAAACTAAGAACAATACTCACCCCACAATTATTTCACATTTTTGTAAAAAAAAATATATATATAGATATAGATATAGAATTTTTTAAAAAGTGGAAAGTGATACATCAATATAAGATACTAACTAGGTCTTATGAAAGGAGCCCTAGTGATGCAACTGTTAAGCACTCAGCTCCAATCAGAAAGGTTGGTGATTCAAACCTAACAGCTCTGTGGGAGAAAAAACTGGCATCTGCTTCCATAAAGATTACAGCCTAGAAACCCTTCTGAGGAGGTTCTAGTGTCACAGAGCTCCATTTTGAGTCAGAATCTACTCACTGACATACAACAGTCTTTTGAATTTGAAATGATCCAGTCATTAAGAGTTAGCATTTCATTCAGAGCCACCCAAGAAAATATTTCCTTTTCATCATGTATATTCACTATCTTGCTCACCCACTCTATACCCTGCACCAAGCTAGATTCCTGCTTCTGGCTTCAAGCCAGAAAATGGTAAGAATAGGTGTCTTGGCATGTTAATTTGTGAGTCTCAGGAGAACGGATTATGTCTGATAAAAAAAAGATATATAATTAGGGAAATACAGACTACCTCCCTTGGAATTTGACCAACACTCTACAGTGATAACTAAAAAATAATCTACTGAATTTACAAATTAAATGTAGCTTTCCCAGATGCTGAATTTATACCTGATTATTTTTACTTACTTGGCATTACTTCTGAAGATAACACATTTTCATGTGTATCTATGAATTATTCCTAACTTCTAGTGCCTGACATGTCAGAATGTCAGAGTATGTGAAGAGACCCAACTGAAAGTCAGTTAAAACAAAGTTCCAAGAGGACATTGATGCCCGGTCTATTTTGCAACTTGTTGTTTCCTCACCATCTAACCTAGAGCAGTGACTAACAAACAATTCTTTTGTACTTTGGTTTCATACCAAGTAACGTTAACTGACACAGCAAACTTTTTCAATCAAAATCTCAAAGAAACAAGGAATACTTTCAATATTGTTTAAAACAAGTTGTGTTTATACATTACATAACATGCTTTATATACTACATAAATTTATGTATACAAAATGAAAAAAATGTTTATACATTATGTAAAATGCTTAAAACTTAGGAGGAACAGCTTGGTTCCTCTCTCCGATTATTAAAAGTGGAAATTGGCAAACGTAAGCCCAATTTCTTTAATCCCAAAATCACTATCTTAAAGGAAAAAAAGCATGCTTTACCTTACAGCCTTCACAAGCATGAACTCCATAGTGGAATCCTGACGCCACATCCCCACAAACTTTACATAGTAGAACCATGCCACTAAATTCTAGGGCACAAACAAACATGAAGTGAAAAGCTGGAAGAAACAGTTGTGTTTGTGAAAATTGTTCTCTTTCATTTAATGTTTTAATTTGTGAGGCCATTTAAAAATATATATATGAACTTTTATAACGTTAAAGACAAATTTTTATAACAAATTATCAAATTCAAAGAAATCATTGCTTTATTTTAAGCATATCTTACGGGACTGCCAAAAACACCTCAGAGAGCTGGATTTTTCCTTTTCTGATGACTTTAACCATAAACTGAAATTTCGTCTATCTGGAGTTACTTGAAACCAAAATAAATCCTCATGGATAAGAAGATATCAGGAAGAGAGGTCAATAAGAGATGCAAAGGAATATCCCCACATGTCACCGTGCAGACACTCAGTTCCATTCAGCTCACCCACGGGAGCCAAACAGATCCCACTCCTTCCTGAACCCCTCCTGCAGCAGTTCTTCTTACCTGTAAACCCCACTACGCATTTAATAATCTAGCCATAAGTTTTCCCAGCTCCAACTTCATGAAGTAAACCCCTTACCACAAGTAAATACTCTTTTCTGGGAAGAATTCAGTAATAGAAGTCCAGAAGAAAAGTTATTTGTGAAAATATGTAAAAGGAGATACCCTAGAGGTGGCACTGTAGGCTACGAACTGGACTGCTAACTGCAAGATTGGAGGTTCAAACCCACCAGCTGTTCCTTGGAAAACCTATACAGGGTCACTATGAGTCAGAACCAACTCAATGGCACTGAACAACACAGGAAATAAAGTCAAAGTACATAACTACCTGTCTTGCTCTGGGCCAAGAATCAACTATGAGATCACTGATTTCTTACCTAATCAGTGACCCAGAAGGAGAGAAAATATGAAATATAATGGTCCCTCTCAAATGAAAACTTGATCAAATAAGCCCCATGTGCAACTAACAGTGGCCGGCTTTTATAAAACTAATATAACTTACTTGTCACTCCACTGTGACTCTTTGTCATCCCAGGTACACTTGACTTGCTTGTTTTCACAGAACAATCTATTCGATCATTCTTCAGGATGCCTTCAATATTGGAGAGATCGCCATTCTTGGGATTACCATTGTTATCAGAGTTAGAGCTATTTGGAGAAGATGGAACCGAAGAGGACGACTGGAAACTATTCTCAGAACCTTCACTGTGACAAGAGGCAGGGCTAGAAGCTGAGCTGGAAGAACTGATATAGGCAATCACACCTCCTGAAAAAGTGGGAAGAAATTAGGTAATTAGATATAACATATATTTCCTATTTTCACAAATTCAAAGAGGCATCAACTTCAGAAACAGGTTCCTGATATTAAATGTTTGCTTACACCAAATATTTCCTACTATTTTTCCCACTTCTAAAGTTCAATGTGCATATAACTCCTACTCATCTAAAAAGTGAGAAGGATTTCACTGAGTTGTTGAGCATTAACCCAAACACTGGTAGCATAGTGGTTACAAATTGGGCTGTGAGCCACAAGGTAGCAGTTCGAAACTTACCAAGTGTTCCGCTCGAGAAAGATAAGGCTTTCTGTTCCCGTAAAGATTTAAAGCCTCGGAAACCCTTTGCAGGGTTGCTATGAGTCGAAACTGACTCCACAGCACATAACAACAACAACAACAACAAAGATTTTCATTAACCCAAACCTAAAGCTTTTCATAAGGATCTGTGGTAGTGTAGTGGTTATGAGTCAGGCTGTTAATTGTATGGTCAGCAGTGTGAACTTACCAGCAGTTCCGTGGGAGATTTATGAGGCTTTCTGCTCCCATAAAGGTTTACAGCCTCAGAAATCCAATACAAGGTGGCTATGAGTTGGAACTGACTCCATGGCACATAACCACTACCAAAGCTTTTCATTTCCTACTCTTATCTGAAAAGTACTAAAGAACGTTCCTGAATGCACAGCTTACTATAAACAAACTGTTCTGGCTATGAAGAAATCTGGCTCTGGCCCTCTTTGCCTTCTCCATTATACCTGGAAACAAACAATTCATCATTTGCCTCCCCCCACATCTGGATAAAACACAGATTAATCAAGAACAGATATAACATCTGGAACGCTGGATAGTAATTTATCTCAAAGTGGGGAGCCTGTCATAGCTGTTGCTCCCAAAGCCTTTTTGTTTGATGTCCCCTGATGATTTCCTTGACTATCCACTAATTCCCAGTGCTACGCTCTCCCTTCTCCTGCCAACTATGCCATTATACTGATTAACATATTCATCTTTCAAGAATCCAGATACAACATTTCTGACTCATTATTTACCGTAAATGTTAAAGATATTTGATGGAAGAATGAATTCTCTAAGAGTAACACGAGGCTAACCGCAAAGTTGGTCTGAACCACAAGGTCGGTGGTTCAAGCTCACCAGCCACTCCTCGGAATCCCTATACAGGGTCGCTATGGGTCGAAACCAACTCGAAGGCACTTCACAACAACCAAAACCAAACCCACTGCCGTCAAGTCTATTTCAACTCATAGCAACTCTATAGAACTGAGTAAAATCACCCTATAATATTCCAAAGGCTCTAATCTTTACAGACAGGAATCTTAGTAGTGCAAGTGGTTAAGCACTTGATTGCAAACTAAAAGTCAGCAGCTGGAACCCACCAACCTCTCCATAGGAGGAAAACAATGTAGCAGTCTGTGCTTCCATACAGATTTACAGCCTTGGAAACCCTATGGGGCAAGTTAAACTTGGTCATATAGGATTCCTATGAGTTGAAATTGACTTCACAGCAATGGGTGTTGTTTGTTTGTTTTGTTATCTGTGCAGAAACAGAATCACACATCTTCTAGAAAGTAGCTGGTGGGTTTGAATCACTAACCTTTTAATTAGCAATCCAGTGCTCCTTATGGTATGCAAATTTGTTACAGTTATTGTTAAGTGCAGTCTAGTCGGTTCTGATTCATAGGGACCCTGCATAAGGTTTCCGATGTTGTTATGTGCCGTGGAGTCGGTTCTGACTCACTGTGACCCTGTAGAGCATTTCTGAGGCCATAAATCTTTACGGGAGCAGAAAGCCTCATCTTTCTCCGGCGGAACAGATGGTAGTTTCGAACTGCTGACCTTGTGGTTCATAGCTCAATTCGTAACCACTACGCTACCAGAGCTCCTTAGGGTTTCCGATTGTTGTTGTTAAGTGCTGTCAAGTATGTTCCGACCCATAATGACCCTGCATAGGGTTTCCAAGGAGTGACTGGTGAACTTGAACTGACTTTGCAGTTCAAACGGCTTTGCAGTCTGGCGCATTAACCCACACCGCAGCACCAGAACTTCTAGGGTTTCCAATAGCACCTCTTAATTTTTATTCATGGTCCACACAATAGTGCTTTTCAGGTAACAAGCCTGCCACAAATATATTTCAGACCTATTCCTCTGCCTCTGTGAAGCCTACATCCAAAGCAGTATAAAGTATTACCCGGAGTCACAAGACAGACAGACATGGCATGTCTGACAAGTCTAGATGATGATACTGACGTAGGAAGTGAAGAATTTTAACATTCCCCAAGTAACAAATACAATTAAGCATTCACTCTGAAACAAAAACTACTTCTGCTAAAAGGAAACTACGTCTCAATCTTTTCTTAGATAGGAGCCAGACTTTTAAGCAATTTATTTAAACTAACAAACTACACAACAAACACTGAAGCCAAAAACAAACCCAAAAATAGAGATTTCCATTTACAAACAATTAAAAAACAGGCATAGGAATCTGAAGTCACTTTTACTCTATCATGCTGATATAAGGTACTAGGTATGTATCTAAGCAACAAATACCTAGATCCAGACTGGGACAATCCTGTGGAGTAAAGCACAGTCACAGCTCTCAAAGAACTTGTTTAAACGCAGTAGAGAAGATAAGAAATCCTGGTGTGTCTGTGGGTTAATTGCAAGGTGTGCAGTTAAAAACTCACCAGTCACTCCTTGGAAACCATATAAAAGGTCGCTATGGGTCGGAACTGACTCAATGGCACTTAAAAATAACAACAATAGAGAAGACACGGAATCCTGGTATGATGTTATGGGTAAGCACTGGACTGCTAACCACAGGGTTGATGGTTCAAACATACCAGTATTGGAAACGCTATAAAGGTCGTTATGACTCATAACTGACTCAACAGCACTTTAAAACAGGTGCGTATCCATGAAACATACAATTGTGTTCATCATACACAACTTATTATGCATAAATTAAACTATATGCACTTGATTTTTAAAGACAAAAAAATGTAAATTCATGTGGATAACTCTATCCACTCTACCCTATTCATTAAGCATATATGTGGCATTAATCTTGATATGGGAAGTGGGAAACAGCTCTTCCTAAAACTAGGCTCACCTCCTAAATACTCTCTTGGCATTTGTGGTTTACCTGACCACTGTGAAGCTAAAGCTTTAACATTCATTTCCTTACAATGTGGTCCTTAATTACAAACCAGTCACTCTTAAAGTCTTTATACCAATGGTACCAGCATCATCTGGAAATGTGTTAGAAATGCAGATGTTCAGTTTCCAACCCAGACACACTGAATCAGAAACTTCCAATGCCCTTCTGAAGTGTGGGAACCACTGACACAAGTCAACTACTACTTCCTTTGTGCTCAATGGAAAGGAGACCAAACATAATTGTGACAGGTTTGTTTCTGTTTTTGTTTTTTTAAGTCTACAGCTGACTTTAAAGTCTAAAAGCTATAGGACTTTAAAACACAAGTTGGAAAAGCTTCCCAACTTTCAATTTATTCTCATAATCTAGAGAGATGATATAAAATTGATATAATCAGAATTACACAAATAGCTGCCAAGAAGAAGGACTCCAAGTCATAGCAACCTTATACACACACAACCCGTGTGGCATCCTCCTCCCAATTGTCAGCATGTTGACATTTACTGTTACAGCTTTTGCACCAGTCCATCACACCAAGGATCTCCCCGGTCCTCACTAGGCCTCTAGTTTAGCAAACACAATGTCTCCCTCCTTCCAGGACTGAGACCGCCTGATAACATGCCCAAAGCCCTGAACAAACTGGAGAATATATATATATCTTCAGTAAAAGTGCATTTTAAAACATGTTCCCCAGGTGATTCTTTGCACACTTTAAGTACAAGTGCAGCCACAATGACTCATTGTGGCTGCTCTTATACTAAGTGTTTTCCAAGTACAAATTGGCCTAGTATTAAAGACTGATGTTTTCATTGGCATAACTGCTTAAAAGACCTTTGCTGTTGTTGTTAGGTGCCATCGAGTCAGTTCTTAGAAAGACCCTTGGTTCTGTTACAAATCGGACTGCAAACCTCAAGGTCAGCAGTTCAAAACTACCAGCTGTTCCACAGGAGAAAGATGAGGCTTTCTGCTCCCATAAACATTTATAGCCTCGGAAACCCCGTAGAGGCCCGCTAGGAGTTGGAACCAATTCCACATCATATCCCCACCACCACCATAATGTTTCTGAGGAGAGAATGGGAAGTCTGAACCACTGACCTTGTGATTAACAGCCCAAGGCGTATCCCACAGCAACAGGGAAATAAAAAGTCATGTTATTAAGCACATAAAATACAACTTCCTAGCAGTCCAGCTCTTAACCTACAGCGCCACACCAGGAGACTGCCACACAGGACTCCATGGAGACCCTTAAAGACCTTGGTGGTGGTGGCATGCTGTCAAGTCAGCTATCTTTCGCCATCGGAGCAACTGGTAGATTCGAACTGCTGACCTTGTAGTTAGCAGCCCAGCTCGTAATCCACTATGCAACCAGTGCTCCCAAACAGAAATAATTTTAATCTAGAAGTCTATCTAATGTAACAATACTAGGTAAAACCACTGAGCCATCTGTCTTTATAATTAGAAATCTGTAATTCATATTAGAAACTTCAGCTGTAAGCAAACTGGTATATTTTTCACACCTGTCTCCCCTGAGAATAGACTAAAGAAGAAAATGTTTCTTAGTCCTCAATAAACTCCTAAGGGAAGGTCACACAGCTATGTTTTTTCCTAGAGTACTTACTGCCTTGGGTAAATACTAAATTCATTTCCTAAGATCCCAGAAGAATAAAATTTGAGAAACATTTTTTTCTTAAAAGTAAGTCTTTCATAGCACCACACTCAGAATCAGCCATGTATGTACACAAGATCTTCTAGCCTTGGCTTCAGGTCAAATGGCTCAAGATCTGGTTAAAAGCACTGATTGGACAATGAACCAAAGCAAACCAA